CGAAGTTTGCTAGGTTGCACACGTCCGTCCCAGATCCAGGAGGCGTATTTGAGCACAATATCCGTGGTGGCGTTATATATGGGGTCATAACACTCATCCCGATGAGATATGAGATACGCTGGTACCCCAACCATCGTCTTACCTGGAGCACCATTTAGGACTGCAGCACAATGTCGCAACTCGCGAAGAGCGCTGTCGCTAACTCCAGCAACTGCACCGCCATGCGCCACTGATGGAAGGGCGCCCGTGCGCCACAGGCTGGTAGCCCTCCGCCCCACGGCGGACTTCAACATGCGAAAACGATGCTTGCGCTCTCGAAACTGCACCAACCTACGCTTCTCCATATGCCGAAGAACTCGAGGTCCTGTGAGCTCGTGTCCCAGATTCCTCATGTGGGCCCTGTACGGGATCTTCAAGGTTCCCAGGTGCCTCTTGAGCTGTCCCCAAACTTTTTGGTTCCCAGGGATACATCCAGACTTCGGCGGCTTCAGGACCATCCCAAGATCTCCAGCATCCGACGTAAACGCCTTGGCCGCACGGGCCAGGTTGGACACCTCCCTCAATACAGGCGACACGTACTGCAAACCCACATCGTCCATGAGCGTGCGTGGCGCGATAGAAGGTGCAATGCTGGCCGTGCGCTGGACCGCTCGGTACGTGAGGAGGTAAAGAAGGTACGTGGCGTGCGTGCAGCCCGCAAGAATACACTGATGGGCCACCAAGGGCCTAGATACAGACCCAAAACACTTGATCCTTCTCGGCTGACGGTAGGAGCCCAGGAGCAACCACAGGAGCCTCAGCGGGTACCCGAGCTCTCTAGCTTCTCGGAGAAGTGCACTGTGACTGACCATATCGAAGCACTTGGTCATGTCCAGGAGAATGGTGCATGTGTGCTCACCTAAAAGTTCTCCTATCTCCTGGCTCAGGTTGTGGTCGAAGGCTGAATCGGTCGAAGTCTGCCCAGCCCTTGACCCCCACATATGATCGCACCTGTGTGTCTCTTGCCACTCCGCCGAAAGCGGCCGACGTAGCTTTCCCCACAACTTGACGAAAGTATTGCTGAGGACGATCAACCTAGTGTCCCCGTCAGGCTTGGGCAGGCGAACAAGCTCGCTGTAGAGCCTGTCCGTGGGCCAGGCCAGCCAACTCTCAAACAGCATGAACATATCGGCCAGGCTCTGCAAGGCCTGGTCGGACAGCACATCGAGCGTGCGTGGCGCGATCCTCGTCTGGCCCGAGGCCGTCTTCAACGGAAAACTCCTGATGGCTCCACGCACCTGCGATGCAGTCAAAGGCGGAAGCAACGGCCACTGAGCGTGATCGACAGGCAGCGGCAAAGAACACGCCCCGTGGTAGGTCCAAACGTCCTTCCACTTGTCGAGCGTGCGGTCAGCCATCTGATATGGCTGAGCGTCGTGGGAGTAGGCAAGCACCTCCTGTCGAGCCCGAACCCTGGACGAATGTGCCCGAGATGCTCCTCCCAGGAAGGCTTCTTTGGCCCACTGCCTCCAGGCCCTCTCTGCCGCTCTTTGTGCCGTTCTCAAATGATGGTCAGCTGCGGCAATGATGGTCTTGGCTACGTCCTCAAAGTCAGCCTCGACCAAGCCGATCAGCCCTCGCCGAAAGAAGCCTGCGAAGGCAGCATCCAAGGCACACAGCACATGCTCTGACCGAGCCGCGCGCCTATAAAAGGCAGCCACCTCGTTGAAAGCCACTACGACCTTAGTGTACTGCAGCGGCGTGATGTCACATACGGCAGCACAAAGCTTGAGGCGCTCGATGCACCTCACCAGCCGCTTCTTCTCAGCCACAAGGTGCTGGGCCCATCGCTTCGCCGTGGCCCAGGCCAGCACGGTCGGCTCCTTGTAGGTACGCCTGCGTGGCGGCTGCCATGACAAGTGCTGCCACTTGAACTGCGGCGGCCCCTCGCGTCCGATGTACTGCATGGCCTTAGCACCCACACAGTCGTATCGCCCTGCCAGCTCGTAGTCCGCCCCTCGCAACACGGAGTCCCAGAGCGAGCTCAGGTCGTCAGTACAGCTGACCCGTTGGAACTCTGTCCGAAGCCTGTGCCACGGGTAGGGATATCTAGCACAGCCAACTGGCGGCACCACCGCAAAGGGACGTGGCTCCACAGGGACACGGCACCACGTGGGGCGATCCTCGCCCATGAGCTGCAGCTCCACAGGAAAAAGCGGCGGCGGCACGCCCGTGGAGTCATACTGAACCTCTGGCTTGCCCTTGATGCGAGACGCTAAATTGGCACAGACGACGAAATAGTCTATGGTGCTCTTGCCTTCATCGGTGATGCAGGCGTGCTGGTCGGGCACGTAGTGGACGGCTGCCATGGTCTCAACCCAGTTGCGAACATTGAGCGCATAGATGTCGGAATTCCAGTCGCCACCTAAGATCCAGTCGAGGCCCCGTGAGTTCCATGCCGCAACTCTCTGTGCCAAGGCCCACAGGACTTCAATGTTCTCGCCCGATATGCCAATAGACGCGACGAGATACACACTGGCGACTATGATGCCGCCTGCCACTCCCCAGTTAATCTGTGCACAGACTGCTCGTCCTGGGTAAATAATATGCCCATCATCAGGTGGGGCTGTGACCATGATGTATGTCGGCACAAGTACAGCGACCCCTCCGAAGTTGGACGTAGCTGAGTCCCCCGTAGAGGGCGAAGGGGCCCATAGCCCATGCCATCCAGCATCCAAGGCCCTGGCCTGAAACTCGCCAAGCCTGGAGTCGGTAATCCTCAACTCTTGTGCCAGCAAGATAGTACCACGATAGGTGGCCAAAAAGTCAAAAAGAGGGCCGTAGCTCGTAGCATTCACCGTTGTGATGAGGCCCTTGAGCTGCGGCTGGGATACTGCATGCGTTGGCTGCACCTTCGCCTCCGTGCTCCCTGGCGGCGAAGGCGAGGTAGGTGCAGCGCGTTCTTGACTTGATTTTTCGAAGCGTAATCGGGAAGAAGGTGGGGACGAAGATGGCGCTTCATGAAATGCGCCTTCACACAGATCTGCTTCCATGTCAGGCTCAACGTCCTCAAAGAAGTCATGATCGCCATCCAAAGTAGTGCACACTGGGCCGCTCTGGCCCGGTGGGGCCCCTGGCAGTCGGCACCCTCTGCCGCCTGGATTCTCCGAGGGCAAGGGCGGTGAGCAGTGCGTGCCGCCCGAGGACGGTCGGTACCCTCTGCCGCCAATCCCCGAAGATGAGGTCGGTGAGCAGTGCGTGCTGCCAGGGGCCAGCCGCGTAGGCGTAGACGGAGTAGCCCTCTGTGATGCCGTAGTCGCCCTGGACGGAGCTGCAGGCTCAACCGAAGTAGGCGAGGCCACCGTCAGGGTCGGAGCTGCCCCCCACCCCGAGGAGCGGGCCAGTGGGGGGGATAATGCAGGCGCCGCAGTGCCAGGCGAGGTCATGGAACTGGACGCCGATGTGGGCAGGGGGGTGTGACTATGAGGGGCTGAATCCCTCCCCCCCCTGCCCAGAATGCTGGCCGCCGTCGTAGATGACCGAGGCGGACTCTCGGCATGTTGCGCTGATGTGGAGCTAACCATGGTGACAAAAAGCCAAAGCAACAGCATATCAAGCCGATCACCTTCACGCCGACGTCTTGGCCTTCTTGGCCACAGTGTCCAAGTAGCTCTGCTGAAGGCGCTTGAACTTCTCACGCACGATGTCTGGGGTGTCGCTCTCCTCGACTTGGACCCCTGCTGCACCCAGCGTCTCACGGTACTCCTGCTCGGACATCTCGATGTCAGGTGGCTCAGCGCAAGACTCATCACCATCCTCATCATCGGGGGCAGGTGCGGGTTCAGGCGGCTTGGCCTGCGGCATATTCTGCAGCTTGCTGACCGTGTTGGCCATAGCTTGCAGCTCCTTGACCATGTCGGCGCCAAGGCCGAGGCCCGATGCAACCTTGCCCAGCTGCTCCACGCTGACCGCAAAGGTGGGCAGCAAGTCCGCCAACGTCGGTGGCTGGGTGCCCTCGGGCGGCTGGACTCGCGACATGGCGGCGCGAGTCTGCTGCTCGAGGCGGAGGACCTCCGCAGCCGCCTCCTGCAACTTGGAGTCTGTGTCGGCCAGGCCTCGGGTGAGCTCGTCAATCTTCCGCTGCTGCTCGTCGCGAGTGGCCTGGATGGTAGCCTGTCGCGCACGGGCGGAGGACAGTCGTGACGCCAATGACCTGGCCTGATGCTCAATGGGCCTATCTTGAAAGAGCTCAGCATCCAACCTAGCACGCTCCTCACGCCATTTGGCCACAATATCAGCATCAGCAGGGTCAGTAGTGACCCGAAGCAGCTGGTCCAGCATCTTGATACGGCTCCTCTTGACGGTGTCGGCATCCCCAGGCGCGGCAGCCCAAGGAGGGCTCGCACCTGTACCCGTAGCCGTTGGCCCTTGCCCAGGGGGATGCTCTCGGAGCTTGGCAAGCTGCGCCTCGAGCTCCTTGACCTTGGCCGCGAGCGACTGCTGCTTGGCCGAGACGCTGGGCTGCGACGCTGCTTTGTTTTCCTTGAAACAGTTGCTCTTGTGCAGGCCGCACTTCTTGCAGTACACAAGGGTGGAGGCGTTGAACCACGGCTGATTCGTGACGTCATGCCTGCACCACTTGCAATACCATGGCGAAGCGTTCTCCTTGCGCGTCGGGGCCATGGCGGCGTCGACTTCGCAGAGACAAGCGGCGAGAGCCACGGCCCTGAGGGCAGCCTGGCCGTGGCGACAAAACTGATGAGGGAGCCCAACCCCTCGGTGAAGGCGAAAAGCTGTCGAGCGCAAGCGCTCTGGCACTGCCGCGGACTAGCGGTATCCGAGAATGCCAATACGGGCTCAGCCCGCAAAAGCATGAGCCTTGAGCCAAAATGGCTACGGAGGAGGAGGAGGAGGAGGAGGAGGAGGAGGAGGAGGAATCACCCCCCTCTTTGCCGACCCCGAGCGCGGGGTGCCCCCGCTGCGAGCCGGGCCCGCGGCCGCGTCGGGCCCCCGCGCGGCTCCTCGAAGACCCACTCCTCCGCGAGGCCAGGGGCGGCAGCGGGCCCAGGGGCCTCCGCGGGCCCAGGGGCGAGGGGCGGGGCGGCGGGAGGAGGAGGAGGAGGGAGGAGGAGGAGGAGGAGAGGGGAGGAGGAGGAGGAGGAGGAGGAGGAGGGGGAGGAGGAGGAGGAGGAGGAGGAGGAGGAGGAGAGGAGGAGTAGAGGAGGAGGGAGGAGGAGGAGGAGGAGGAGGAGGGAGGGGGGGGGAGGGGGGGGAGGGGGGAGGGGGAGGAGGGGGAGGGGGGAGGGGGAGGAGGCGGAGGAGGAGGAGGAGGAGGGGGAGGGGAGGAGGAGGAGGAGGAGGGAGGGAGGAGACGAGGAGGAGGAGGAGAGGAGGACGGAGGAGGAGGAGGAGGAGGAGGAGAGGAGGAGGAGGAGGAGGAGGAGGAGGAGGAGGAAGGAGGAGGAGGAGGAGGAGGAGGAGGAGGAGGAGGCGGAGGAGGAGGAGAGAGGAGGAGGAGGAGGAGGAGGAGGAGGAGGAGGAGGAGGAGGAGGAGGAGGGAGGAGGAGGGGAGGAGGAGGAGGAGGGGGAGGGGATGATCGGGGGGCAATAGAGGGTAGGATAAGCAAAGGGCAGAGTACTCTGGGTTTCTTAATACAGTCGGAGCTTTGACCTAAGGAAGCCTACATAAGGAAGGATGCCCCTTGCTCCCATAAGTTAAGTTTTAATTTCCCATGGAAAATGAAAGGAAAACCCCAGGCAAACTGTACATAAATCAAGGAACACCGAGCCCCACCCCGACGAAAAGAGTTCCTTCTTCAGCGCCCCGACTGTAAGCGTGGGGGGGGGCGTCACCCCCGCCGACAGCCCCACATCGACCCCCGTCTTAGGCAGCCACCGCGCGCCGAGGGCGCTCCGACCCCCGTCGTGGCGCGACGACGAGGCGAGGTTGACCCCCGTCGGGGGGGCAAGCCCCCACGCTTATCAAGAAACCCAGAGTAGGGAATCAGCTCACGCAATTGGTTTTCATGGCGCCTCCTGGCGCTGGGAGGCGCCCATGTACGGCAGGTTCGTGTCGTCGCGACCCCTGCGTTGGTTTCTGACACGGCGTAGATTGTTCAACTTTGATCACTCGGCGGCGTTTCGATCGCCCGATCGTTCCATGTAGGCCGATCATGGGCCACTGGCGGCGTTCAACCTTGAACGCCCGCGGCGGGGTCGCCGCCGGTCGACACGACGCGAGCCTAGTGTATCGAGGGATTGGCCCGGCGGCGGGGCCGAAACCAGCTGCATGCAGTCGACTTCGTAACACCCCCTTTCCCTATCCTACCAGTTCGCGCGGCCCGAGATGAGAGCGGGCACGGTGGGGTCGGCAAAATAGAGGCAGAATTGCAGAACTGCATCGACGTGCTTCCATCGTCTGGCCCGAGTGAAAGTCTTAACTTGGCCGAGGAGGGGCGAGAGAGAAGAACGAGTGGACGAGGATAACGAACAGCAGCAAAAGCGGCAGCACGAGGCCGGACCAAACACCAGGCCAACAACGTTGCCCGCCAGCGAGCGGCGCTGAACAGATCCCGCCATTCGAACAGGATGGCGGGAGGAAAGCAAAGCTTTCCACGGAATTAATTAGCTCAGGCAAGAGCCTGCCAGACCCTCAGCGAAACCGAAGCCGACCGAAACCGAATCTACCGAAAGCAAACGAGAAGGAGGCAACGCCGCAAAAACGATGTAGCCATCGATCGAACCGAACCGGCTGAATGCAGCCGACTGAGACGCAGCCGAACAGACTGGATCTCGGACAACCTGGGGAAGGCAGGAGGATGCGACAGGTCCGCGTCGTGTCGACCCCGGCCTTGGCTCCCAACGCCGCGGGGATGGCTCAACCCTGAACGATGAGCCACTCCCGAAACGTCCTGTCGTTCAACATGAACCGCTCTGGGTCGCGGGCGGCGTTCAACGCTAACTACCGTAAAAGAGGAGGAAGGGTGCAAGGGTGCAAGGGTGCCAGCGTGCGCCGAAGCGCGCCCTGCGCGGGCTGCCGGTGCGCTGCCTGTTCCCACAGCTAATTCTCACAAGCTTATCGCAACCACTTCTCACAAGCTTCTCACAACCACTTGTCACATCCACCCCTCGCAAAAAAACATTCTAACATGTTGACATCGTCTGACCAGCGTTAAAAAGAGGAGGAAGGGGCATCGATAAAGGCGCATTCGGAGGCCTCGCGAGCGCCCCTGCGGCCTTGCCGTCCGCAGCAGCGAGGCCCGACCGGCCCCGTGCGGAGCGCACGTGCGCTCCCAGGGAGACACGGCAGCACCGCGACAGCCGGGCCCCACGGGCGCCGGAAGGCCACACGACAGAGCTCGAGCAGGGGCCGACCGTTCCAACATTCCTATCAGCCAGGGCTGGACCTAAACGGTGTTTTTGGCGATTTCGTGGGCCGTTTTCGATTCGATTTCGTTATGCGGTAAAGGCGGATTCGAGACAAAAGCGATGAGAAAACGAAAACAAAACGAAAACGAAAAACACCGTTTAGGTTCAGCCCTGCTATAAGCCTACCACGACATGTTCTGATAACCAAAAGATATCCGAAAAAAACAAAAGAAGACTATCATAGCATAAGCCCGATGTGCGGAACCCAAACAATATCGGCAGTAAATGTTCTAAGGGCAGTTCGTGCAGACCACAAAAGGTTCTTAGAACATTCTTTGGTGGGACGCTTCGCCACTGCTTGAAGAGCTGCGTTCTTCAGATCCTGCGAGGCCGCGGCACTCGGGCAGTCCACAAGAAACCTTCCACAAAGAACCCAACCCTGAGACCCCAGGACGTCCACTGATTTCTGGCGTGGGCACGCCACGCTTTCCGTAGCAAAACCATCGAAGCCCAGGAAACCCAGGGCACCCTGGAGGCAGGCAGGGTGCTTCCTTGCATGGGCCCCCACCCCGCGCCCGAAGTCCACATGACAGAGCTGCGCTCTTCCGACCCTGCGAGGCCGCGGCACTCGGGCACTCGGCCGGGCTGCATGGCGCGCGGCGCCCGGCCGCCCGAGGCACGGACGACCGCCCGGGGAGCCCCGCCCCGCCAACGGCCCAGGGGCGGGGGAAGGTGAGGGGGAGGAGGAGGAGGAGGAGGAGGAGGAGGAGGAGGAGGAGGAGGGGAGGAGGAGGAGGAGGAGGAGGAGGAGGAGAGGAGGAGGAGGAGGAGGAGGAGGAGGAGGAGGAGGAGGAGGAGGGAGGAGGAGGAGGAGGAGGAGGAGGAGGGAGGAGGAGGAGGAGGAGGAGGAGGAGGAGGAGGAGAGAGGAGGAGGAGGAGAAGGAGGAGGAGGAGGAGGAGGAGGAGGAGGAGGAGGAGGAGGAGCAGGAGGAGGAGGAGGAGGAGGAAGAGGAGGACCCTCGGAGGAGGAGGAGGAGCAGGAGGAGGAGGAGGAGGAGCAGGAGGAGGAGGAAGAGGAGGACCCTCGGAGGCGGACCACCAGAGGCCGCGGCGCCCTCGGCGGCGGCAGGAGCCGCCGGCGGGTACGCGAGGGGCGCGCGCATCGCGTGCGCTCGGCGCGGCCAGGGAGGCGCCCAGGCGCGCACGCTGCGGTGGCACGCGGCCGCGGCCACGAGCCGCGCGGGCGGCAGACACGCACACACACACACACACACTGTGGCGTTGCGGCCACGCTCGCGGCGGCGCGGCGCAGACCGTCGAGTGGGAGAGCGAGCGCGCGGCCGGGCAAGCTCACACACACACACACACATCTATATATGTATATACATACATACATACATACATACATACATACATACATACATACATACATACATACATACATACATACATACATACATACACATACATACATACATACATACATACATACATACATACATACATACATACATACATACATACATACATACATACATACATACATACATACATACATACATACATACATACATACATACATACATACATACATACATACATACATACATACATACATACATATATATATATATATATATATATATATACCGATCCTGGGCCCAAGACTTCACCTTCCCTGAGGACATGACTACCTAGCAGACCACCCCAACCCAACCCGAAGACCTGAATTGCGGGTTTGGGGGGGTGCGGGTTTCATGTGTGTTTTCTAAACGTTCCCCGACCCCCCCACTGGAAATGGAGGGCAATTCGGAGCCTTCGGGTAGGGTTGGGGTGGTTTGGTGGGTGGTGAGGACAGTCGGGGCCCAAGCGCTCGTGACGGGTGAAAGGCGGTGGAGCTCGTCTGGCGGGACCAGGTGCAGCAAGGAGCCGACCGACGCACAGTGAGCGGAATATGCGCCACAGTGAGCGCGAGCACCCGAAACTGGTACTGACCAGGCGTGGTCGTCGACGACGGCAGAAGCGACGACGTCGACGTACTGGCCTAGCCGCCTTGGAAGCGGCCAGGGGGTATGCGCTGGATGGGCCCTCGGAAAATCGATCAAGAGGAGGATAAGAGCAAATAAGCTCAAAATCGGACCCCAGACCCCTCCTGGGGTCGAAACTGACCAGTTGTTGGAGCCGCGTGCGGCTGTGGATACGAAGGTGCCCCACTCGACCTCCAACTTCCGAGCCTTCGCGCAGCAAAAGCCGCTGCGGCGCGGCCGCAGCGACCGCTGAGAACGCCGCTGCGGCCTCGACGGCGGCCGCCATTGCGGCCGCGCTGGCGACTTCCGCTGCGCGGCATCTGCCGTTCCAAAGGCGCGGAAGGTGGAGGTCGAAGGCCTTCCCCCCACCCCCCCGAGTTCTGCTGGCCGGAACCCAGTGCTTGGCCACCTCGGTCCCCCAGCCAACTCCGGCGACCGCCCCGGCCCCGAGCGGCCTGCCTGCCGGCGAGCGCGCGCGCTCCCTCGCCCGCTCGCGCCTGCGGAGCGACGAGCGGCGGGCGGTCGGTCGCGCTACCGCGCGCAGCCTCTGTGCAAATCCAGGCAGCGCCGCCAGAATAGTCAACCCGTATAAGAAGGACACGCGACAAGGATGCAGGGGCCCTGGAGGGCCGTGTCGACCCTCTGAGAAGCGGGCGCGGCCAGCGAAAGTGGCCAAGGATGGGCAGACGGGGAAGGATGCAAGGGTACCCTTTCGGAAAGTCGCTCATCCTTACTATGTGGGCTGAGTGTATGTCCATATCCGCTGCCGCCTATCTCCAGGACTCGCTCAGCGGTGGATTTAGATATCTGCCCGCCCGCGGGCAGATATCCACATCGACCACTCCTCGAGATCCCAGGGCACGACTCCGAAGCGGTGGATGTGGACACATTCTGGCGGTGGATTGGCTGACGCCGCCCCAGACTAGGCCGTGGGCTTCAAAGTCCTCACAAGAGGCCGTGCATGCACCAGCGGTCATCCACCCAAAAAAACGATGGGTGCCGTTTTCCCCTCCAACAGTCTGGGCGCTGCAAGTGACCACATATGATGTATGTCGGTGGGTCGCCAGAGCCTCTGACTAAGCCACGCTGGCGTTCGGCACAGGGGGCCTTGGGGCATGTGAGCGCCCCCCGCAACGCAGGCGTGGGGGCAAAATTGATACAGATGCTTTGCCACGCGTGTAGCATCACTGCTCTCTCCCTACCTCAAAATGCCTTCCTCCTCTCCCTCTTCATCGCCCTCCCTCCTGGAACCCCCACGGGCCCACTCGAGAGTCCCCTAGAACCTCTGAGAACCACCCAGAAGCCTTTGGACTGCAGAAGAGGTCACATATTCCTGAATCCCTGCAGCAGCTCCAGAATGCCCCAGAAGACTCCAGACTCGCCATCGCTCGGACATCCATTCCCCGTGCATTGTTCGGTTTCGTGCGCTTTTTTTTGTCGCAAGATGGTGCAATATGCTCCGGGATGGCCCTCGCCGAAAAAAATGCACACGTCCGAGCGATGCCAAGCAGAGGTCCGGGGAGGCCTTCCGCCCTCTGACGCTCGGCCGACATGTCCTACCATCGATCGTCGATGCTCCTCCCTCTCTGCTTCTTCCTGCTGGGCTGAGCTCTACCCCTGCATGTCAGATTGCCGAAACCCAGCGGGGTTCAGAGTTCGGTCCCATCCTTAGACTGTCTTGATTGCTTCGGGCACGAATGAAGGCAGGATCAAACTGTTCTAAGCGGTGCAAGAATGATTTTCATGAAGGGGCCCTGGGACACACAAATAAATAGACACACATAACAGAAGTCCCGATGTGCTCTCATATTTTCTGGGTTTTCGTCTTCCCCCCCACTTCCCACATTATCCCATATTGTCCTGGCCTCCTGATCCCAGTCGTACAGAACTCCGCGGGTGCGATTGGGTCAAAAGAGCTCAGCAGGCAGGTGGGCCCCCCAAGAGGGTATCCGCTACCCAGGCGCCGACTGGGTCCGCAGGGGTATCCGTCGCTCTTAAGAGGGTGGAAATCAGGGCTGGACCCAAACAATGTTTTTCGTTTTCGTTTTGTGTTCGTTGTCCCTCGTTTTGTCTTGAGTTCGCCCTCGCTGCAAAACGGTACCGGAACGAAAACGGCCCACAAAGTCGCCAAAACACCGTTTAGGTCCACCCCAGGGTGGAAATATGAAGCAGGAAGGCAATAACAAAAACAGGACTCGGGAGTCCAGACATGCCCACTCTCGACCAGCGACGGAAAGGGGTACTCCAGATTTCGTAAGAAAGGGAGGGGGTCTCATCTCGGGGGGGGTCTCTTCCAGGCTACCTTGGAGGGCCTGGGGGGGGGTCTGGGGACGAGGTTTTGGAGGGTTCTCCCACGGGGGGGGGGTCTGAAATGGCTTGTCTTAGAGTGTCCAGACCCCCTCCCTTTTATTACTTAGGGGAAAACAAACCTACCTCGCTTTTGACCACCCTCGCTTCCAAGAGATACCAAACGATGCCAAACTACGGCCTGCGCTGGTCAGGCCGCTTGACGAGGAGGCGCGTGGTATGACTTGGTTTTGCCTGGAAGCGAAAGCGGGGTAGGAAATTCACGCTCTGAATTACGAAATCTGGGGTAGCAGGGCGATCCTGAAGAAGAGACACTGCATGGACGTTCACGGTCGGAGCTCCGCGCGGAGCTCGCGGCACGGCGCTGAGTTCTCCCCTCCCCGGCGCGCCGAGAGGGCCCAACACGCCGATCCAAGGAAGCCGCACGGAGCTCCAACAATATGTGTAAGTACGTAAGTACTATCATGTCTTATTCGGGGGTCGCATACCCAGAAGCCTCCCAGATGGGGTCCGAGTATCGCGCCTCGTCGCCAGTGCATCGCCGATGCATCGGCGATGCATTGGCGATGCATTGGCGACGTTGGCGATGCATCGGTGACGTCAGCGTGGGGAACATCGGGCTCCGCATCGCGCCGCATCGCCGATGCATCGGCGATGCGGAACGATCCCCCGACCTCATTTACTCCGACCCCGTGCGAAGCCTGCCGCGCCTCCAGCTCCTTCTTGACGGCTCCCAGCAGCCAGCCGTTGGCGTTGCGGAGCTGCCGGGCGCGGAGCGGCAGGCACCCGACAGGTGAGCAGGGAGGCAGACGGTGGCGCAGCACAGGCGCCCTCCTGGAGGTACCAGCCTCGGAGGGGGCCATAGTCATATCCACATCCAGTGCGCCTTGGATTCTTGGGCTCTCTTCCCCAGAAACCGTAGACGCACTGGATATGGATAAAAGTCTGGCCCCAAGAGGCTTGGTTTTCTCCATGTCCAGTGCACCTCGGCGTTGCAGCACATCTTCCCAAAAAGTCCACGACGCTCTGGATATGGATATAAGTACTGCCCGCACTCGGAGGGGAGGAGTGCGATGGGACGCACCAGGACGTACCAGAACGATGTGTTTCCGCGGAGGCGTGCGTACGAACCGAACGTGTGCCCTCCTCGGAGGCGCGCGGCCGAACCGAACAGATAGAACGAACATCTTGTAGTGCCTCGCTTCCTGGGCGGTAAGACCACATACAGTCGGGGCCTTGACCTAAGGAACCCTAAATGAGGAACGAGGCCCCTTTTTTCCATAAGTTAAACTTCGATTTCGTATCGAAAACCTGAGGAAAACCCAAGGCAAGCTGCGAAACACTTAAGGAACGCGGAGCCCCTCCCCAACGAAAAGGGTTCCTTCTTCAAAACCCCTACTGTAGAGCACCCACCACGGGGCACATACGGTAAGACTTCTTGGCGCGCGCACGCACAGCATTAAGATGTTCGGGAGGCGCCGAGGAGAGAATGCTAGGAGGAAGAGCCCAGAGGCCTGACGCGGCAACATGAGACCCGACCTACGGTCGACCCGCAGAGTAAGGATGGGCATCCCTACCAAGGGTACCCTTGCATCCTTGCTTCCTGGGTCCGTCCTTGGACACTTTCGTTGGCCGCGCCCCGCTCGAAACGCTTCGAAATGGGCGTCCAAGGGCCCTGCATCCTTCTCGCGCATCCTTGCTCTGCGGGTTGACTGAGCGTCGGACCACGTCGGATGTACGACGGGTTCACGGCGAACGGACGTCGGCTTCACGTCAGACGTCGAAGATCGCCGCGCAGAAGCGTTCCAAATCTGGCGGGGCCCACGTGCGGACCACATGACACAGCTGTTGCGCGCCGCGCGAGGCCTCCGGGATGCTCCTCACAGTGGAGGAGGAGGAGGAGGAGGAGGAGGAGGAGGAGGAGCAGGAGGCGCCTGCCTCACAAGGGAAGAGTGCAGGACAGATTCTGGTCGTGACGCACTGCTCGTCACTGATGGCACCAGACGGATCCATCGACATCGGTTGATTCCTGGCCACTGGCGTCGTGTTGCATCTTCGGGGGACCTCGCCTGTCCCATCTCGCCGCTATCCGCTTCGGATCAATGTCGAATCCACGTCGAGCGTCGCTTCCTCGTCGAGTCTGCACCAAATCCACGTCGAATCCACGTCGAATCCGAGTCGAGCCAGCGTCGACTTCGAAGGAGCACCACAACTCACAAGACAGACGAGGCCCCCAGAAGGTACATCGTACGGCGAGTTCGTGTGGTGACGACGACTTCGGCATCGGTGTCTTGACATCGCGTGGATCACTCAACCATGAACGATTCCGGCATCATGGCTGCACACTCATCGAAACGGCACTTCAGACCTCGCCCTTTGCCCTCCACCCAAATGGAATGCTCGGATGCTGGCTGATCCTGGGCCACCGGCGACGTTCAGCCTCGAACGCCCGCGCCGGGGTCGCCGCCGCGCCGGCACGGGCACGGCACTGCCCACGACGGAGGCCTGGGCCGCTCGGCGGCTGGACGCTCCTGCGGACGGCGCCGCGTCGACGAGGCGCTGCCTTGGAGCAGGGCCGGGGGGGGGGGTCAGGTCTGCAGAGCACCCCCAAACGCACGTCACGGGTGGCCGTGGCCGTGGCTGTGGTGGCCGTGGTGGCCGTTGCCGTGGTGGCCGTTGCCGTGGTGGCCGTGGCCGTGGTGGCCGTGGTGGCCGTGGCCGTGGTGGCCGTGGCCATGGTGGCCGCGGCCGTGGTGGCCGTGGCCGTGTGGCGTAGGGGGCCACATGCGAACACTATCCGTACCCCCTCAGAAATCGTGGGGGGTAGGGGCAGGGTTCGCTTGCGGCCCCCCAAAGGGGCCCAATCAGCCTGCTCGGTCAGGCTGAAGTGGATGCACCACACCCGGCGTCGAGCCAAAACCTTGGACACGGGCGCACGGCCGGACCCTGCGTATCTTCGTCGGCTCAACCAGCGAGGCGTCCGACCACCTCGGCGTCCCTCTTCGGGTGGTCCTGCAGAGGAAGGCGCTCCCTGACCCTCGGCCCTGCTCAAGCGCTGACCTGCCGCCAATGGCCGACGCAACCCAGATCGCCTGCAGTTGAGATCGCCGCCGCGTGGACCTGCCGCAGACTGGCGGGGCGGGAGCCCGGAGGTGCCGCCGCCGCGTCGACGCGGCGCTCCCCTGCCGCAACTGGCGGGCAGCGCCTGGAGGGCCCCGCGCAGCGGGGTCGCCGCCGCGCCGACGCGGCGGGGGCCCGCCGTGCTCCCGGCGGCTGCGGGAGCCGTCCTCCTCGCCGCCGCCGCCGCGGCCGCGCTCGTCGGCAACGTCGGTGACGTTCGAAGGCAACCGAGGCGCTAGGCCAGAAGAGCAGCCCTCAAGAGCACGAGACCCTCCGCTGGCCAAAGCGCACAGAGCATCCAAGGGTGCGCTCCCCAGGATGCACAAGAACGTGCAACAACTGCGAGGAGCACGAGGGCACCCTCCCCGAGCCGACCTCGATCTATACATCGGTCCGACTGTATGTTTCAGTGTACTCTCAGCAATCGACCTATCCTGGCGGCGCGCACAAGGGGGTAGGGGAGGAAGTCTTTTTAGGAGGCGGCTCCTTAGAAGGAGGCTTCTTAGAAGGAGGCGCTGGTCCTGCATCTACAAAGAAGGACCGCGCCTTCTAAAAGCAGGGGTGCTTCTGAGAAGCCTTCCCCCCTCCCGCTACCCCCTTCTGCGTGTGGCCAACTGTCTCCGAATGTATCCTTAGTCCTCGAGTCCTCAACGGCATCGCCATGAACGTGCCTCAAACCCGAGGCGATGACAACGATGGGGAACTGCCCTCAGGAACTCCGGGGGGGCCCTCAAAATCGGCACCGAGATGAGGCGGCACCCAAATCACGAAGAGAGAAATGACTGCCCGTGCGGGACCCGGGGCCCGCGTGTGCCACACGGCCGAAGCAAGACTGCGATCGGCTTGCTCGGGTCGAACAGAAAACCCGCCCTGCACCCTCGGATGTCGCCGTGGCTCGGGGGGGGGGGGGGGGCCGGCGGGATGCCCCCAGCTGCGGCAGAGAGGGGGGGCCTGCGGGCTGCGGTCGGAGATCGCCCTCTCCTCGGACGACCACTCTCCTCCTCCTCCTCCTCCTCCTCCTCCTCCTCCTCCTCCTCCTCCTCCTCCTCCTGCTCTTCTTCTTCTTCTTCTTCTTCTTCTTCTTCTTCTTCTTCGTATTATTATTATTATTATTAATATTAGTTGTCCTCGTTTCCTGATTATTATTACTATCCTTATGCATATTAGTAGTATGGTTGTGGTTGCCCTTCCTATGGCTTATAATAGTAGATTTTATTATATGTCATTAGTATTAGTAGTATTGCTGTTCATGTTAGTCTTATCACTGGTGGTAGCATCCATAGTAGTAGTAGTAGTAGTAGTAGTACTACTAGTACTACTACTAGTAGTAGTAGTAGTAGTAGTAGTAGTAGTAGTAGTAGTAGTAGTAGTAGTAGTAGTAGTAGTAGTACTACTACTACTACTAGCAGTAGTAGTAGTAGGAGTAGTAGTAGTAGTAGTACTAGTAGTAGTAGTAGTAGTAGTAGTAGCAACAGCAGCAGTAGTAGTAGTAGTAGTAGTAGTCGTAGTAGTAGTAGTAGTAGTAGTAGTAGTAGTAGTAGTAGTAGTAGTAGTAGTCGTAGTATGTATTAGTATGGTTCATATTGTGATTATTCATACGAAAAGTATTATTACTATTATTCTTGATACGATTACTACTATTATTATTCCTCTTCCTTCTCCTCCTCCTCCACCTCCTCCTTCTCCTGCGGCTCCTCCTCATCCTCACTCATCTTTTCTCCTCCTCACTCCTCCTCACTCCTCCTCCTCCTCTCCCTAACTCCTCCTCCTCTTCCTCCTCCTCCTCCTTCTCGCCAGCCTCCCCTCCAGGGCTCGATCCTCGGATCAGCCTCAGCCCACCCCCCGCCGAGCCCGGCAGGCTCGCGGTGCCCTTGCTTGGCCTGTCGTCCGTCGTCGTCGTCGTCGTCGTCGTCGGTAGGCGTTGTCGTCGTCGTCGTCGGTCGTCGGTCGTCGTCGTCCGTCGTCGGTCGTCGTCGTCAACGCCGTCGCCGCCGTCGTCGTCGTCGCCGCCGTCGTCGCCGCCGTCGTCGGTCGTCGGTCGTCGGTAGGCGTCGTCGTCGGTCGTCAGTAGGCGTCGTCGTCGCTGGTCGTGGTCGTCGTCGTCGTCGTAGACGTCGTTGTCGTCGTCTCTACGAGCACCTCCCCCCTCCCAGACGGGAGGACTTGTCTGCTCCGACCCCGCGAGTTGCATCGGCAGAGGCTTCAAGGATCGGACCAGCGTAGATGGAGTCGAAGGATCGCGAAGAATCCCCCATGCACGGTGACGTCGGGTTGAAGCAAACCAGGGCTACACATAGAGCCGCATCAGTAATGCATCGGCGATACGTGGCGATCCTCCGACCCCACCTGCTCGGACCCCATCTGGGAGGCCTGAGCTCGAGGAGGCCTCGGGGAGCATGCGGCAGAGTCGTGTCGAGACGACCTGCGCGTGGGCTTCCCCAAGAATACCCCGAAATAGTCAGCCAAAGAATGCTCAAAAAACTCGCCCCAAAATTATGTATTTGATATGTCTGGGTATCCCTCCTGCAGCGGGACAGGCCCGACTAAGCCGAAATTTGTCTTCTAGCGCCGAGAGCCCCCCAGCGCGCCGGAATTACTCTTCTAGCTTCGCCGCTTACGCTCTTAGGGAAGCTCTACGAGTCAAAGACAAAACTTCCGGGGCTGGCTCGGCCGCTGGCGCGTGGGCTTCCGAACCAGTC